AAGCACAAACAGCTGTCCACTGACACATTTTGAAAACTGAATGACATATAGGTTGTGATAAACTTTTCCACTGTATAAAAGTAGCCAGTATATGGGGGGGGCAGGGGGCGTGGTGGAAGTTCTTTTAAAACAATCTCTAGCCCACAGTATTTTTTCATCTTCTGGAAACTACTCAAAGCTTAAGCAGAAAATCATATTATATGGTTTACAGATATTACAAATATTAATTTTATGTAGGATGTACAAAAAAAGCTTACAATGTTTCTATTTTCTAAGTCAAAGCTAATAATCTGTTCAAGTACTGAATATGATAGCCTATTTCTCCATATTGACTTGAAAAGGAAAATCAATTTCTTTGCATGTCCAGCAAGTACACTTCTCAATTTGAAAAATGTGTATTTTGTTAGGGAAGAACCTTGCAAGACATCTGTAAAACACTTGAGTCTGAAAAATCATTGCATGAGAGTACTCTTAGTTTCTTTTTGAGAAGACAGATGGTGGGCCTGTTCTTTAAGATACTTGGGACTCTTGTTATTTGATACAAACCCAAGAATTCCTGGAAGTATCATGTACACAGCACAATTTGCAGAAGACGTAATGTGATCTCAACAAGAGCTGTGAGCTATGAAACAAGAGAGAGGATAAGGGCATCAGCATGAAAATAGGAGCCTGGAAAAGTTCTGAGATGTGAAAAGAAGATGGATGGTTTGGTGCAGGAATTTAGAAGTGAATCAAGAGCCCGACAAAGTAGAGAGAAGAGAAATGGCATTAACATTGAGTGTTCAAATATTGCTGTTATGGCACTGAGCAGCACGGTCTACGTGTCAGAAATTCATTGAAAGAATCTCTACATAAGTCAAGCCAGTTTTTTTTTACAACCTAAGCATAGTCTCTGATCTATTTATGAACACTATAAAAGTTCCAATAAAATTAACAGAAAATGCTGAAGCTGTCAGTAAGAGTAGTAATCTCTACTAAACTCCATGCTTGGCTGCTACAGGTGAGCATCCCCTCTAACAGGCAGCCCGTCCTCCTCCTCTGCTCCTACTAACAGCCATTCCTAATCCTTATAATTGTTGCCTCTAAAGTCCAAATTGTAGCAACTCCACTGACTACGCAACAGGGTTATATAAGGTAACAATGTAAAGATGTTAAAAACTGAATAAATACTCAAACATTTCAGTAAAGATAAAGAGCAGCTAATTTGTTAACTAGTCTAACTACCAGTAAAACACATTGTTTATAAAACCAGTATTTGAAAATATGGTAATTTACTCAATTTTGTAAGAGACAGAATACTTTAAAAGACAATCTATTAAAAGATTCTGGAAATACTTCATTACAAAACCCGGAAAGAGTGTCAGTGACACTCAATCTTCCCTTCTCTCCCTGACAATTTTCACCACCTGCTTTTAGCTAAAGTATAAGCCAAGATTTGAAAACTGTAAATCACAGGGAAAACTCTCCATACCATGTAAACTGCATCTCATAGCTACCAGACGTTCCAGCTGGGAAATCAAATCCTTACTCTCACCCACACTTCTGATAAGAGGTACCTTACCAGATTTCTCTCTAGACAGCTATTCCCGATTAGATCATGTCTCTGTTCAGCACTCTGTCATGGTGTACATCAGAGCTGCAAAATGCAGAGCCTGTTTCTCACCAGCAACCAGATAAGCATGTTCTACGTCCTGCTGGTAGATTAAAGTTATTAAAAGCCCTTTAGTTTCCCTGGGAAGTAGGTGTGCGGGCAGTGTGAGCCAGCCAGCCAGGTCCTAAGGCACACCTTCCTATCAGGACAAACACACACGATGTTGCTGCCAACCCCATATCCACCAGACACGTCTCCCCTTTCCCAGTACGGGGGGCTGCCAGTGAGGGCAACTGGCTGACTATATCCTCTTTACCTGCCAGGCCCTGGGTGGGTTTCTGCAGCTGGAATGGGTGGGCAGAAAGGGGCAGGGGGCAGAGAGGGAGAGCCCAGAGACACAGCCTGGGCAGGCACTGCCTGGGATGGGAGAAGGTGCAGTTCAGCGCAGGTAAATTGGGAGCTCATTAGAGGTGAGGCCATTTGAGGCAGACAGGATTATTTTTTCTCATTCACCTCTGCCATAGCGAGCAGTGATCTCATGCTCCAGAGACAGACTCAAGAACAATGTTTAAAACAACCTTCTTGAATTAGGCCACAGTGCTGCCCATGCCCAGATTCAAAGAGAGGCATAAAGTACTCTGTTAATAGCAAAAGAGACTGAAGCCATTATGTTTTTACAGTTGTTCATGCATGTCCCAAGACCCCTGTAAGAACTATAGCACCAGTGAGACTTCTGAAGGGGAGTCCAAATGGAAAGCAAGATGTTGCCAGCATCCATGTGAATGTCAATTCTGCAAAATTCGCAATCTTAATCAAAGTGCAAGGTTCACATATTATCTGTATATGAATATTTTTATAGCTATATATATTATATTACATACATTTGTAATGCATACATACTCTCTCTGTGTCTATATTTATGTACATATAAACAGCTGGCCATTCTTTACTGCATCTGTCAGAGTTTAAGAAAATGAAAACAGTCTCAAAATACTAACAGTCATGCTTGGATTGCTCAGAATCTTACTGTGGCAAATCTACAGAATCTCTACGTAGTGCATAGATTATACGGGCCTTTTAAGAATTACTTGAACTGAATAAAGGATTGATTATCTGTCAGCATCATGACAACACATAAATACAAAATAATCAGAACTAACTTCATTGTTACGGTTAAGAACAACTATGAATATAAACTGTGCTCATTTATCTAGCAGTGTCAAAGGATTAAAAAGATTTTTACAACATTTTTTAAATCAGTGCATTCAATGTAAGCTACTATTATACTTACTTTTAGCATGTAGCCTTTGAAATCTCGAACAGCCATGAATCTAATGTGACTATGCAAATTTTGGTAGTCTGCAGTTCATTTCAAAGGTCCTAAACCTAAAGCAACCCCTATTGAACTGCATCTCAAATAATCTGGCACCTAGATGTGAGGTTATCACTCTGGAATTGTTCTCCCTTTTATTGCAAGAAGCAGTTGTGAAAACTTTATAAAAACATTGATAAATGCTCTCAAGTAGGAAAACTACTTCAGTAGTTAGTAATAACTATTTTCTTGTTATTTCAGTATTCAATGCCAAGTGCCTGCTTTCCCCAAAGAGCATGGAAGACAGGAGAGCAACAGCAAAACAAACTGATTGCTAGGATTTCTCTCCTAATTCACACAGAACAAGGTATTTTTGTTGCTGACTCAGGACTGATAATGAATGAGATATTGTTCAGATGGATATAGATGTAAGTCACAACTTAGCCAAAGGTGTAATTCAAGCATAGGTCCCGGTTAAGCAAAGAAAAAGTCTTTCCATCCTGATCATCTGCAGAGGCTATTGATACCCACCACTTCTGTTTAAACATGATATTAAGAGCCTATTCTGCTGTAGAGGGCAGGTAGGCACTTCTACCACTAAAAGGAGCTCCCAGGCTTTGTTCAAATTGCTGCTCCTGCCTGCCCCCAGTAGAGAGGAGATGAAGGTTGTGGGTTAAGCTAGCCCACTGGTGACTCAGCTAGAAAGCACAACACTGCAATTCAACAGCTTGAACTTGTAGCCAAATTGTGACACGTGGGTCTACTCCAGACATCTGCCCCGATGAGCATGCACCTGCAAAATCCATGCTGATCAGTGCATCGTGAAAACACGGCACAGAACCCATGATGAGGGTGTGCACTTCTTAGTCTTACAAGTCATATCCTCTAAAATTTCGTTTCCTTGCCAAACGTTTCTTCTCCATTACCTGCGATAAGCAGAGCCCCATATACCAGCTCCGCACCCACAGCTACCGAAGCATACACACACATACCTTCCCCAAGCATCTGTCCCATCTAACAAACCCAGGCCTGTATACACTCACATCATAGCCACAAACCACGCCGAAGACAACTTGCCACAATGCATCACACCATTTGCCTTGCAGATAATCCCTTGCCGATAAATATATATACATATACACCATGTCCATGTATCTATCACACCATTTACTGTACAGATAATCCCTTGCTGATAAATATATATACACATACGCCATATCCATGTATCTATCACACCATTTACCATACAGGTAATCCCTTGCTGATAAATATATATACATATATGCCATATCCATGTATCTATCACACCATTTACCATACAGATAATCCCTTGCTGATAAATATACATACATATATGCCATATCCATGTATCTCTCACACACCACAAGCCCAGCCTCAATAATAAGACGCCACCTACCGCACACAACAAGCCTGTTCCCCTGTGCAGAAACAGCCCCGCTGTGTGTCACACAACGCTTCTATACCTACTGCTTGTACCCTCCTGTCACCCCCTAGGTGCCCGGGCTACTGCAGGGCCTGGGGCTCTGTGTGCGTGTGTGCACACTCACACGTGCAAGAGATGTGTGAACGTTACGTGTCTAAGAATGCGCTTACACGAGTGTGTGTGACTGCATGCATGGTGTACGTGAATGGGAATGTGCCTACAGGTGTGCAAGCCCGTGTGTGAGTGGGTGGCGTGCGGGTGCGTGTGTGAAGGTGGCACATCTATAGATGCGGGTGTGCGGTGTGTGCGTGTGAGAGGATGCAGGGGGGTGTGTCGCCCGCTGTGCACAGAGGTGTCAGCGCCCGTCTGTACAGCCTGAGCTCACACACCGGGGTGTCAGCGCCTGTGTCAGCCCCCCCCCGTGTGTGTGTGTGTGCCGGTGTGTCAGTCAGTGCGTGCGCGTGTGAGTGTGAACCCCCCCGCACCAGAGCCAACGCCGTGCGCGGTGATGTCTCCCGGTGTCAGCCCCTGCGCGGGGATGTTCGAAGTGTGACAGTCCCCCCTCTGTCCGTCCCTCCGTCCGTCCGTGCCAGCGCGGGGGGCCGCGCAGCCCTACCCGGACGGGCCGGGCCGGGCGGCGGCTGCCCCGGTACCTGCCGAAGTGTCCCAGGGAGTCGAAGATCCGCTCGGAGCTGGGAGCCATGGCGGAGCGGCTGCGAGCCGGGAGCCTCGGTGTCGCTGTCCCGGCGGTGCGGAGCACAGCCACCTTCCCGTCCCGTCCCGTCCCGCTCCCCCC